GTGCAATTATAATAAACCACCACTTATCGATTACTACATTTTACTCATCATTTTTTTTTCTGTGGTTCTTCTTCTTATACCCTTCAAAATACTGCACCTTTTTTTTAATTTCAATGGTTCCACTTAAAAACCAAACCACCACCTCACACTTTTGCTTTTGCATGCTTATGAGAGGTAAAAAGGGTTCAAACAGCAGGCTATTCAAACAATTGGGTAAGGTTCGCAATGTGGTTGCCAAAGAATCAGGCTTATAGGCTCGACGGGGTTAACTAAAATGTATTACATTCAGGTGGGTTTACTTTATATGTCTGGCTCAACAAAGAAATGCCTATATCACTTCTAGAACTGAATGAAACTACTATTTCGCTTTGCAAACACGCAGGGCAAGTTCTAGGCATCAAATGTGAATCATGGAATACAAGTAAAACTCACACCCACATGGCATATGACTCATTCTAGATTGGCTTATCAAGACATTCTCTTCTGAGTATTCAAGTTAGTGACAAACATGCAATTTAAGGTACTTCAGAAAGAATCAACCACTGAGACTAAGTGTTACACTCTAGTGTCTATTGTGTTCAGGTGTATCCACGCTAAGGGTTTCTCCTTCCATTTTAGCTCGTGTCCAATTAGTCCTAACTACAATTAAAAACAAAGTAAACAAAAACTACCTACACTCGGTTCAAGCTAAACCCTTGGAAAAGAACCGTGGCCTAAAGAAAAATCAAGGGGGAGTTACTACACTACCTAAAAAAATAAAAAATATTTTTGGTCTTTTCTCTAGAGTTACTTCCCTCAAGAAAATTGTCTAAAGGATCCGTCATCAGGAAGAGTCTCCATATTCTTGTTTTTTTCCCGACTTAGTCCCTCAAGAACCCCGCCGAAAGAGATCCGTCGTCGGGACAAGTCACTTACCTACTTTAACTTACCTAATGAACTATTACTCAAAACACCAAAAAATAAGCAAAGAAAAATAACCAAAAAAATCAAATAGTCAATTGTTACAGATACATACATACACTGAAGTATCCCCCACCCCACACTTAAAATGTAGACATATCCTCATGGTATAAAATTTAAAGAATAGTAAGGTAAAAGAACTTCCCTGAAAGATCACTCCTGATCGGAGATGGTGTCTGGGTTCACGTTGCAAGCACGACCCAGAGCTCTCAGTCATCCTAAGAATTTCTTCTCCGACTTCACCTGTCGGTCAGCCACCGTGTCTACACGGGCACCCAATTCAGTGACTGAGGTACGCAATCCAGCCATTTCCTGCTCTAAATTTGTCATGCGGGTGCTCCGGCGTGGTTGTGATGGGAATGCCTCTCCCACTCTCAGAGGTGATGGGACCTCAACTGCCTCATCATCTTCATTATCAGCGGCATCATCCGAGTCATCAACATTCACCACCGGCTCCATCCCAATTCTGATTTTTCTTGCCAAGAACAGGGCTTTCAGTGGTAATTTCCCATCAACTCTAAGGTCCTCAGGGACTCTAGCAAGACGACACAGCCTGGTGACTAGAGAAGGGAAGTAGAAGCCCTTGAGTAACTCGGGTGATCTAATGAGCATCTCGTCATGGAGGAGCCTGGCCACATCAAAATCCATGTGGGCCATGAAATAGTAGATTGCTGATGCCCGTGGTAGATTGACATCGGTCGTGTTGCTGGAGGGCGACAGTCGACTATTGATAATGGTGAGCAAACACCTAGCCTCCCAAGTGAGAGACTGGGAGTTAAGTGTGATCCTGGGCTTTATCCACATGTGTTTCCTGTCTTCCACACAGATAGTCTCCAGAAGAGTTGGCCACAAGGCACGTGTTGAGCTAAAAGTACGATAATCATCAGACTCACCTATGAACACTGTCAGCCGGTAAACCCTGCGGATGGTCTCGATGGAGGCATCTACCGGGGTATTGCGCACAGTAACCACCCCATTCTCATGTTTCGGGCAGTTAGCATAGAACTCCCTAACTAATTGAACATTGGCCTCCTCCGGTACCTCGAAGAAGATGTCCAGCTGACACCACCTTAAACTATGGTCAAACTGTGCTGCACTGTCTTGCCCCCTAGCTTGCTAGGAGCTTCCCGGTCCACTAGCGGAGGATCCGGTGTTGCGTCTCTTCCTCAACGAGCTCATATTACCTGTCAAACAGAGAAACGCCTATTAGTGAGTGTGTGAAATGTGTGACTATGGTTGGTTACTCAGACTTCACCACAACCATGTCACATTAGCCCCTTATAACGCCATTGGAGCAATTCCCCAAACACCTTGTGGGCAAGACAAATTCTTCATACACATAGCCCATAATGTGGCATCAATTCCTCCCCAAATCAATGATTATACTACCCCATCACACTCCACAATACTTCATTCAACACCTACAACCATATACCCCCTTTCACCACATTATACACACAGCCCCTTCACCAATCAGTCCCAAAAATGAAAAGCACAAGAAAACACTAAGAAACTTAACAAAGATTAATTAAAAAAAATCACTACACAATTACAACACTAACCTAGCATATAACTACTTACAATACAAAAAGAAAAGAGAAGGGGGAGGTGAGAAGCATACCTTTATGGAAGAAGGGTTGAGAGGAATGAAGGTGGGGGAGTGATATGAGTGAAGAAGAAGAAGAAGAATGGAGAGGGTCATGGGTTTAGGTTTAGAGAAAGAGAGGGAATTGGGGAAATAAGGGGTAGGTTGGGTGTTTTGGATGGTGAAGAGGGGGGGGAAGACTTAAGACTCTTTCCTAAATCAATTTGTAACTCATACACGTTTTTCAAACACATAAAACACTGGATGCACGCCTGATAAACTCGGCGGCAATGCAAGTCTGTAAGCCACCTCTCCCACTCGATCAAGAATCTCAAAAGGACCAATGAATCTANGTTGTGAAATTATTAGGGGGTGGGATATAAAATTGAACAAAATAAAAAAACGAAAAAGAGAAGATAAAAAAAATACCTACCTAACACCGAACCGTCGCAGTCCCACGACAGCCGCGGTGGATAAAATAACGCGAGGTAGAATGTTTGCATCTCACCACGGTCGCGGTGAACTGCCAAACATCGAGGCAGAATGTTCGCCTCTCACTGCAGTCCTGTCGTGGTTCCCCCGTGGTCGTGGTGGTTTGCCCATTGTTTTTAGGAAAGTACATAAATCAAACACTAACAACAATATTCGTGGGTTGACTCCCATGCAGTGCCTGATTTAACGTCGCGACACGATGCAGATAAGCGTATTTACTGTTCGCTCGACCTCTAAGGTTCCGTCAGGTTGATCTCTGTCACTTCTCTTGGTACACTCATACCTACATATAGCTTCAATCACTGTGTATTGACTCTAAATGTGCGAGAGTCTTTCTCCGAGGCAATTTCCACAACCCTTGAAGGGAATACTTCGACCACTCGAAATGGACCAGACTATCATGACTTAAGCTTATCGGGGAACAGCCGTAATCGTGAGTTGTAGAGCAATACCATGTCCCCGGGTTTGAAATGTCGCTCAACAATGTTCTGGTCATGCAACCTCTTCATTCTTTCCTTGTACAATCTTATGCTCTCAAAAGCAAGATGTCTGAACTCGTCAAGCTCATGCAATTCAATGATTCTCGTTGTGCTCGTAGCCTCAATATCTAGGTTCAACTGTTTCAGTGCCCACCAAGCTTTGTGTTCAAGTTCCACTGGCAAGTGGAAAGACTTCCCAAACACCAACTTATATGGTGACATACTAATTGGTGTTTTGAAAGCAGTTCTATAAGCCCAGAGTGCATCATCTAGCTTTTTCGCCCAATCAGTTCTTGTGGCATTTACAGTCTTGGTCAATACACTCTTTATCTCTCTATTAGACACTTCCACCTGTCCACTTGTCTGCGGATGATACGGTGTTGCCACCCTGTGACGCACATCATACTTTGCTAGAAACTTTTCAAAGGCTCGATTACAGAAGTGGGTACCTCTGTCACTGATGATAGCTCTCGGTGTCCCAAAACGGGTGAATATGTTCTTCTTCAAAAACCCCACTACTACTCTTGCATCATTAGTGGGAAATGTTGCAGCTTCTACCCATTTGGACACATAATCTATAGCAACAAGTATGTACTTATTGCCAAAGGACCTGACGAAGGGACCCATGAAGTCAATTCCCCAAACATCAAATACTTCCACCTCTTGAATCGGGTTCATGGGCATCTCATGGTGCCGGGAAATGTTCCCGATTTGCTGACATTCATTGCAACCCTTCACCCATTGGTGCGCATCTTTAAACACTGTTGGCCAAAAGAAATCGCCTATAGCACTTTTGCAGCTGTCCCGACTCCTCCAAAATGCCCTCTATACGCCGATGCATGACATGCCTACAAAACAGAAGATTGTTCTATCTCGGGGATGCACCTCCGGATCATATTGTCAACATATATTCGAAACAAGTAAGGTTCATTCCAATAATACATGCGGCAGTCACGATGAAACTTTTTCTTTTGTACAGAGGAAAGATCATAGGAAACTATACCACATGCCAGATAGTTAGCAAAGTCTGCATACCATGGCACTTCCTCAAGATTGACCGTGAGCAGTTGCTCGTATGGAAAGGTTTCCATAATGTCCTCAACCTCAGTTGAATTTTTAGCTCCCTCAAGTCGTGATATATGATCAGCGACTTGATTTTTTGTGCCCTTTCGGTCATGAATTTCGAGGTCGAACTCTTGGACTAACAGCACACCCAACGAATTAGGTGCGGTTTAGATTCCTTCTTCTCAATCAAGTACCTGAGAGCTGGATGGTCAGTGTATATAATTACCTTAGAGCCGATCAGGTATGATCTGAATTTATCGAAAGCAAACACCACCACCAACATCTCCTTCTTCGTCACAGTGTAGTTCAGCTGGGCTCCACTCAGCGTTCTACTTGCGTAGTAGATTGGATGTATTAGTTTGTCTTTCCGCTGTCCCAGCACTGCCCCCACTACATAGTCTCTGGAATTACACATGAGTTCAAATGGCTACTCCCAGTCGGGGGCAATAATGATTGGTGTTGTGACCAGCCTCTTGTTCAGCTCCTCGAATGCTACCCTGCAATCATCAGAAAACAAGAAGGGGTGATCTTTTTCTAACAACTTACATAGAGGGTTGGCAATTTTTGAGAAATCTCTTATGAATCTTCGGTAAAAACCGGCATGTCCGAGGAAGCTCTTGGTTGCTTTGACTGAAATTGGAGGGGGAAGCTTTGATATCACATCCAGTTTAGCACGATCCACCTCAATTCCTTTGCTTGACACCCGATGTCCCAAGACTATGCCCTCTTGTACTATAAAATGGCACTTCTCCCAATTAAGAACCAGGTTAGTCTCAATACACCGTTTCAGAACACAAGACAGATTTATAAGGCACTCATCAAATGAGTTCCCTACCATTGAGAAATTATCCATGAATACCTCCATTATGTCCTCTACCATGTCAGTGAATATGGTCATTATGCACCTTTGGAATGTGGCGGGTGCATTGCATAGGCCAAAGGGAATCCTCCGAAAAGCATAAATGCCATATGGGCAAGTGAATGAGGTCTTCTCTTTGTCCTCTGGTGCAATGGAGATCTGATTGTACCCTAAGTACCCATCCAGAAAACAGAAGTGTGACCTCCTTACCAATCTGTCTAACATTTGATCAATGAAGGGAAGTGGGAAATGGTCTTTCCAAGTGGCTAGATTTAACTTTCTATAATCCATGCAAATTCTCCATCCCATGAAGGTTCGTGTTGAGATCAGTTTATTGTTATCGTTTTTTATCACCGTCATGCCACCCTTCTTAGGCACACACTACACTGGGCTAACTCAACTACTGTCAGATATTGGGAAAATGATTCCCACATCTAACCACTTTATTACTTGTTTTTTCACCACTTCCTTCATATTGGGGTTTAGCCTTCTTTGATGTTCCTTGGAAGGTTTGTGTCCCTCTTCCAGCAGAATTTATGCATACAGTAGGCGGTGTTGATCCCCTTAATGTCTGTCATGGTCCATCCAATGGCAGTCTTACACTCCTTGAGTACCTGTAAGAGTTGTTGTGCTTGCACATCTAACAAACTGGATGAGATAATAACAGGTAATGTGGAGTCAGGTCCAAGGAACTCATACCTGAGATGGGCTGGCAATGGCTTCAATTCCAGCTTTGGTGGTTCTTCAATGGATGGCTTAGCTGGAGGAATTTCTCTATTTTCTAAGTGTAAGGGCTCAAATTCAAGAGTTCTATCCCAGAACCCTCTGCCCTCTAATGCCAACACCCATTCTACCAGTTCTTCTCCATTCACCTCATCTAAATTCATCAGACATGCAGCCAGGGGGTCCTCAATTGTCAACATCTCATCATCAGTTTCTACAATTACATCAGCGACATCAATAAGAGAGCAATTGGTGAATTCACTTGGTCGCCTCATAGATTTTTGCACATTGAATGTTATCTCTTCGTCGTTCAGTCTCATCTTGAGCTCCCCATTCTCACAATCAATAAGAGCTCTCCCAGTGACCAAGAATGGTCTTCCCAAAATTATGGGAATTTCTTCATCCACCTTGCAGTCTAAGATCACAAAATTTGTAGAGAACAAAAATTTCCCCACCTGAATCAACACATCATCCAGGATACCAGAGGGTCTCTTTATAGTCCTGTCAGCTAGCTGCAACAACATAGATGTGGGCCTAACTCTTCCAATCCCCAGCCTCTTATAAATCTCTAGGGGCATAAGATTTAAGCTGGCCCCTAGATCACAAAGTGCCTTAGCGAAAGCAAAATTACCAATAGTACAGGGAATTGTAAAGCTCCCTGGGTCAGATAGCTTCTCCGCGATTAGTCTAGTCACCACTGCACTGCAGGTCTGAGTAAGAGTCACCGTGGCCAAGTCTTGGAAATCAAAATTTTGGGACATTAAGTCCTTCATCATTTTTGCATACCAGGCATCTCTTTCAAAGCATCTATCAAAGGAATATTTACCTAGATTTGTTTCAGCATCTCCAAGAATTTCTTGTACTGCTCCTCTTTTTGGTATTTAACCAGCCTCTGAGGGAATGGTGCAGGAGGTCTATTCTTCCCAATGATTTGGGATGGATCTATATCAGCTACCACCTCAACCACTAGTTCCCGGGCTATCTCAGCTTCTTTCTCAGTCTCAATCTGAATGTTATTTTCTTCCTGGGCGGGCTGGACTGTCACCTCTGTCAGTTTTGTTGACTCATCCAGCTCAATGGGCACTGGTATGAGTGTCTCAGCATGTCTGGTTTCTCGAGCCCTCTCTTGATCTACATCCAAATCTCTGCCATTGCATAGACTCACTGCCATCAGATGCTTCGGGCCTTGATCTTTTGGATTTATCTGGATGTCTGCAGGTAATGTCCCATGAGGATGATTGTTCAGAGACATCAAAGTTTGGCCCATCTGCACTTCAATATTCTTGATAGCTGAATCATGTGCATATACTCTCTCATTGATTTTTGCATTAGACCTAATAACATGTTGCATCATTGCTTCAAGTCTAGCAAACCCATCTTCTTGTCGTCCACCATGCTGCTGCTGAGAAGGATGATACCCCTGCTGCTGATTCTGATTGTTGTATCCCTGTGGCCTTTGGTAAGGTGCCATATTATAAGGAGGTCTCATACCTCCCATGTTTCCATTGTTGATATGTGGCTGGATTGGCCTATATGGATGCTGCTGCTGACCCCAATTTTGACCACCCTATCTCTGGCCTCCATAATTAGACACATAATTCATGTCTTCAGGGTAGTGATGATGATCATGTTCTACATTCCACTGGTTACCAGTTGGCTGACTAATGCAAGACGCGCACAAGCCCCCATTGGTAGTATCTACTATGTGTACCTGCTGCTTCTGCCCTGACTCTTCCACCTTTTTGGTGAGTATACTCATCTGTGTCAATAAGGTGGCCATATTTTAAGCCATAGAGTTGGATGGATCTAAGGGCACTGAGTGAACTGCTGGGGTGATAGGTGCATTCCTGGTTATCCATCCCGAATTCTGTGCCATCTTGTCAAGCAGACTCTGGCCGTCTCTCCAGGTTTTGCTCAAAAATGCTCCACCAGCTGAAACATCAACTATGTTCTTTACACTATCTGACAACCCCATGTAAAACCGCTGCCCCAACATCAGATCTGGAATACCATAGTGCGGACATATAACTAGCATCTCCTTGAAGCATTCCCATGTTTCATGCAGTGTCTCCATTGGTCTCTGTTTAAAACTCAAAATTTCATCAATTTGTTGAGCAGTCTTGTTGGTTGGGTTGAACTTGTTGTGGAATTGCTTGACTAACTCCTCCCAAGTTGTTATGGAATTTATGGGGAGTGAGTTTAGCCAGGTCTGGGCAGCTCCCGTCACTGAGAATAGGAACAACAGTAACTTGATTGCTTCCTGAGTTACATTGGGTTGCCTTTGAGTTTTGCAGATTGACAAGAAATTCTTCAGGTGTTGTTGAGGATCTTCGACTTGTGACCCCGAAAATAGTCCCTTGTTCTGCAACAAGTGCAACATGTTATTCGTGATTTGGAATGATTCAGCCTGTATCTGCGGGACTACAATCGTTGTGGCTAGATTTTTAGCTGTGGGTTGTGCCTAGTCATAGAGAGCAGCCTCTGGCACAAGAGGTGTCGGTGGCGCTATAGGTGCAGGTGGATTGTTTTCGTGATCTCCCATGTTCGGTTCGAATTGTTCAATTGTTTGTTGCTATTTGCTTTTCCGGTTGGCCTGGTTCAAGGCCTTAAAAACTTTTTCAGGATCTGATAGAGCTTCGAATATTTCACCAGTTCTCGTTGAGTTTCTAGGCATGCACCTGTACAACCAAGTCAACAAACGTTAAAATTTCAATGTATAGATTGGGTATAGAGAAAACTGACTACACTAAAAGAATTTTTGTATTTCTTTTAATTGTAATTGATAACACCGTTAATTCCCCGACAACGGCGCCAAAATTTGATCACGCCCAACTATGCCTTATAAAAAGGACACGCGGACGTTGCAAATATAATCTGAGTATTTAGCACAGAGTCGAACCCACAAGACATTAACCTATCAATTACTTTCTTTAGACTTACTGAATTCCACGGAATCAACTTCCCAAACGTTGTGAATAACAATTGATGGTATTTATACTAACTGTGAGCACGTGATTTTTGCCTTACGAAAACTACTCCAAAATAAATCAAAAATAAAATAAATTTCTTTTACTATGCAATTTTTGAATTTGCGTGATGTTTGTTAAATGTTTGTCTTATATCTGTAAATATTTATGTTGCCATAATAAAATGAAAAATAAAATAAAATACATGTTGCATGCATATCTAGGATTTAATTATGCATTGATTCAAAATAAAATCACAAAAATATGCATTTTGTTCTATTTTAAATATTCCACTGTGTGATTAATGTTTTGTCTGTATGTTGAATAGTTGTTATAAAGTGATTAATATTGTTTAGAAGTTAAAATTGTTTTATAATTAAAATTAGAAATTTAAATTAGAAAAATGAAAAATAAATTGAAAAATAAAAAAAAATATCGGACCTGGATTAAAATCCAGGCCCAAAACCAAGTTACCCCCCCCTCAGCCCAATCCAGGCAACCCAGGACCGGTCCAATTCAAAGCCAAGACCAAACGACGACGTTTGGTCACATTTTATCAAGGACCGTTGGATCAAAGCCAACCAACGGCTGAGATCCCACGAACCTTAACCCATAGCCCTTACCCGACCCAATGCCCCGATTCAGCCCGACCCCAGCAGTAAACCAAACGACATCGTTTGGCTAAATGAACTAATCCTGGCCATCTATTCTCCTTGATCCAACGGTCAAGATTAATCCACCTTCCCCCTATATAAACCCCAAATCATTACCCCGGCCCCCCTAGCCAAACACCCCCCTCCTTCCCTGTTCATCATCGTCCTCAAACCCACCCCTAACCCTAGCCGCCCTAGTATCCCATCGTCTGAAACCCGGCGGCATCAACGCCGCCGGTCACCACCTTAACACCCCAGAACCCCCTGAACAC